TTTTTTTTATCTCATAAGTTTTTCTTTAATTATCTTTAAAGTATCTTTTATTATTCGAACTTTGTTTTGCTGCCGTTGAGAAATGAAGAAGCTATAATGATTCGTTTCTGACACTGTATAAAATTATTCGACAGTTGCATTTTCTCATTTTCAAAATTTTCAACAGATAAAATGAGGAGCGAGGCTATCGGTGGGTATCCCGTTTCTTGATGTACCTGTACTTAACTTGGAAAAGCTATTCATTATATCCGACCTGACCACCCAATACACGCACCTGCAGAAACAGCAGTACGAATACAATGTACATTTACTCGCAAAAACTTTTTCACTACAACATTTACACATGTATCCCCCCCACACACAGGAAAAGTGTTAAGATCTCTCTCTCTCTCTCTCTCATTATTTTTAATTACATTTTTGGGGGGGGGGGGGGCGGTTGATAGCCGTAAATAAGTGTTTGCCAGGGAAGACTGCCAAACCACACATCAGCTAACACCGATGCACCTGGTTAAAAAGATCGTTAAACCGTTTTCGTTGGCATTCGACGCTTTAAGATGGCAGGATATCCAAACGGTACCCCAAGGGAAAAGGCACCATCAAAAACTTCTCAAGATTTACTACATTTCTTATTGATATCAAAAAGCATTAAATGTCGTTGTAGACAGACTTTCTGGTGAACCTGTATAGCATACGCAATGAGAAGAGCCTCTGGGTGTAAATCATGTCTCTCTGATCCATTCTAAGTCCCGATGGTCAGACATATATAAGGGCGAGTGCTCCATTTGCCCCTCGTACTTGGTCATTCACGGACGTCCGTTGTTTCCAAAAGCGCAGTTCTATCTCGCCGTTCAGTGCTTGCGTCGAAGTAAAATGAAGATCCTGCTGGTTATCGTCGCCATGGTCGCGGTTGGCGCCCAAGCGAGTTGGTCAAGAGATGGCCAGTACGGACAGTATGGACAGAGGAGCTACCAACAACCTTCCTACCACGCACCTTCCTACCAGCAACCCTCCTACCATCAGCCGACCCATTACTGCAGCCATCAGTACTGTGAGTATATATTTGATATTGTAAAGAAACCAACTATAAAATTTAGACTTCAAAGGGCATTGGGGTTTTAATGGAAAGACAGGCCAACCCTCACATGCACCAAGGGGCATGGTTGGAGGGAATGTATGTTGCTATTATCATAGAGGCAGTGGCATGAATAGGCCTACAACATAAGTACTTTTTATAATTTATAACAATATAAAACGCTTTTTTGGCTTAACACGACGTCACTACTTATGGAGCCCAATTTAATGGAAATAGAATTGAGTGGGATTTTATCAGAAGGATTGAGTGTGATAGAGAAAACGATGGACAATAATAACGGCAGCAAAACTTGTACAGCATAACTCTCTCTCTCTCCTTCTCTCTCTCTCAACTTTCAGAGTACCCAAAGTAAATTTTTATACGTACTCTTGACCATTCAAGGTAGTTTTCATAAATTCCGTAGACATTACTTTCGCGAATGATCGCAGTCATCCATAACTCTGGTTTCTTTTTCTTTTGGTGGGGGATATTGAAGTGGCAGAAAGGGTATCAGGACCACCCCCTGGACAATCCTGCCAGTTTTAATTGTTTCAGCACGACCTCATGGCATAAACAAAAAACCTTCCCAACTTAATTTCTTTTTCAAATTTCATTATTATTATTATTATCATTATTATTATTATTATTATTTACTTCACCTCTTTCAAATAACTCACTAACTTCAAATGAAATGTACGCAAATTGAGATTTGTTTGAATTTAGAAAAAAAAGGCAAAATGATAGTATGTGTTAAATTTAAAAATGACATGATATGGCAAATTTGCAAAATTTGGATTCATATCTTCTTATCATTTAAGATAACCCCTTCATCTGTTTTTGCGCGTAGATGAGCTTCTTGAATCTTATAATTAATAGGGAATACTTTTGTTTTACTGTATTTTCTGTCTCATTTCTTATACTAAGTAAAATATTCAAGAAATGTATAAATACCTAAAATAGATAATTCAAAAGCAGTGTATTTTCTTTCCTGGGATGCGGGGTGTCTTTGGGGAGGCGGGTGTCCGGGGGGGGGGGGGGTTGTCATAGAATCGGCAGAAAACGGTATCTCTGGTCGCAGTTTCACAATAAAAAAATAAGTCCTTTGACTAGGACGTTACCAGACTATGAGAGTCCTGTAACACTGATAGAGTAAGATGTGTGCATGTGACCATGTAACGTTGATAACCAAGTTCTTAGTTAGGAAAGCTGACTTAATTTTTTTTTTTTTGTGTAAAACAAGGGTATTAAGTCAAGAATGGACATGTGATCGCCTACATGTTCTTTGAAAATCGTAACTCGAATTTGTTCACTGAGAATCAAAGCGGCAGATGAAATAAATAAATAAGGAAAATAAGATACATCTAGCAGATCTAGCACATCTACACTGTAGCTAAAAATTATGAAAATAAAGAAATACATTAATGAACGAGGAAAGCCTTGGAGTGGTGGTGGGAGGCAGGGGTACTGATCAAACCGTCAGATCACAAATCACAGGAAATAAAACAATATTCATATTTCATTGAAAATGCGAGACCGGCAAACAAAACTGACTTACTCAAGTAACAAAATAAATTTTAAGTTAAGGCCGCTCGCTTTATTCTTTTTATGTCGTATACCCCCCTCGACAACGGGTTTTACTTGCAATGGTACATGTACATGCCATTGTGAGCTGCGTTAGTGAAACGCTCTTGGACAATAATGACAAATTATATTGCGTCGAGTTTTAATCAGGAATTTAGAAGCAGCATGTTTCCTAAAGACTGCCCGAAATATTATAGACATATATCACTATTATACTGGCCATGTGTGCACTGAATGATATTTTCTGAATGCACTTAATAGCCTCATTGCTTTCCTTGGCAAAAAAAAACATTTTATAGTGATCCTTGTTGAGAACAATACCGGAAAGTCCTGGAGCAAAATATGAAACCAAAAGAGCAATCGTGAACAGAAACGGTATGGCCTTTCTTCCTGACACCCTTTTCTGCCGAAGGAGGAAAGGAAGGGGGGTAGGGGTGACTGCGTTTCTTAGGTGTAGGCTACATAGCAGTATTATTTCATTAGTGGAATGTGTGTTTTGTTAGACAGTGAAATATTGGGCTGGTTAGTTCAACTGTTGTTTGTACAAATTGTTCTTGTAACTCTATGCTGTGTATATTAAAACCAGTTTCCAATGCTTGTG